CATTCAAAGACATAATAGTTGGTACATTTCTGTAACTAATGAGATATGAATCCACAGAAGACAGACAGAAAGGATCACATACCAAATAGCAGACGACTCCTGAACAGAAATAATGTAAATCAATAGACAATGGAATACTACCTTCTGAGTGGTAAGAGAAATGCAACTATCAACCTAGAGTTAGAGACTAAGCAAAGCTATCTTTTAAGAATTACGGCAAAATATGTCTTCAGATCTAAGAAAGTTCATGACTAACAAATCCTTCACAAAACAACTTCCGAAGATAGTCACCAGAAAAAGAGAAAATGACCCCCAAAGGAAAGAATGAGATGGAAGAAGAAAAATAATAACAATAATAAGAACATCTTTAAAATCATGTGTCTTAATTCTATGACCTGGGTTTTTTTTGTTTTGTTTTGTTTTGTTTTTAAAAAAGACGACGTAATAATAGCATGTAGGTCAGAAGTGAAGTGATAGACATTAAAAACATTTCTTCTCCCAATGTGTTGCCCTGAATGCCCACTTTAGAGACCACTGATGTGGTACATACATCTACCATTGTTTAGCTACAACAAACAGCAATATTAGCTGCAATCATTTCAGAAGTCTTGTTAAAACAATGAGACAAGCCATAACGGATTTGTAAGTTTGATATGAAGGACAAGTCCAGGGCACTCCAGACAGGAAACGGTAAAGGTTCAGAAGTAGTAATAAGGATGGTATACCCTGTTCTTCCTCTAATAAAGTATTTTATATCATTTCATATGCTCTTCTAAAATCTTCTTTTTTTTTTTCCTTTTTTTTTTTTTTTTTTAACAGGGTCTCACTCTGTCACCAGGGCTGGAGTACAGTGGTGTGATCTTGGCTCACTGCAGCCTTGACCTCCTGGGCACAAGCAACCCTCCCACCTCAGCCTCCATAGTAGCTGTGATTGACTACAGGCACACACCACCTCAGCCTCCATAGTAGCTGTGATTGACTACAGCTAATTTTTCTATTTTTGGTGGAGACAGAGTTTCTCCATGTTGCCCACACTGGTCTCGAATTCCTGGGTTCAAGCAATCCTCCCACCTCAGCCCCACAAAGAGCTAGGATTAGAGGCATGAGCCACTCTTCTAAAATCTTTAAGACACAAAGAAAACAAACAACAACAACAAAAAACACTTTCTAGAAGTAATAGCATGAGAAGAGCAATAGTGGAACATGTCAGAGATTCATTATTAATATTTAGGTCACTAAATTTTCTCTCTGAAGGCTTCATTCAGTCTCTCAGGTTATGATATGTAATGTCTATCCTCACCAATGTCACTAATTTATTTTGATGATAAATGAAAAAATTCAAAGGGGGTGTTACAGCACTGATTTTCTATACACTATCATTAGTCACTTTGCTTGGCACTAGCAATACAGACTAAGGGACACAAAGTCAGGCAATTAGAATGCTATACAATAGGTACTGTGACGTGTGAAGGATGCACAGGACACTGAGCAAATCCAAGGGTAGTGGTGAAGGTATGCTTTCCTCTCGCTTCTTCACACCATCAACAATGATTCTCACAGGACAAACTACTGATGGCAACTGATCACAATAGGTAATCATTACAGTCACCACCATGAATTTCAGTATGTTACAAGACTCAACATCAAGAGTCGTTTTTTATTAAAGACTTTTTAATCAAACTGAATTCAATTTTAAAACATCCCAAGAAGTAGTCAAAAAAGTTTTCTTCTTACCAATCAAAATTTCATCAGAGAAAGCTAGCCTGAGCATTTTTGACCCATTAAAAACTAGCATAATCAGAGTTTTTCCAAAATACCAAAAAATGTTTTTCCTGTTTCATTAAAAAACATGTAAGAGTAATGGTAATATACTGTCTATATCCATGGTGGAATTATCCAAATAAAATCTAACTAAAGAAAAAAAAGAAATATTTTTTATTCTTTTTCTGGACTTACTGTTTATAATCTAAAATCAAACACATTTTGCATAGATTCTATTATCAGCAACATGTACTTTTCTACTTTATTACAAAGTGTTTACTGCCTTAAAAATTAATCATTGGTTGTCCTGTTGTATTTAGCCCATTGGGGCCTATTAACAAGGCACACACACATCTTTCATCTAAGAAAATACTCCTGAAAAAGTACACACAGACTGTTCTCAGAGAAAAGCAATTCTTTCTCATTTTACTATATATAGTAATAGTATATAAGAGATCAGTGCTGTAATATTCCCTTTTGGGGTTTTTAATTTATCCTTAATATATATTCGTGACACTGACAGTGACAAATATTCCCAAGGAAACAAAATCCAAGTATGTTTTTTTATATTAACTGCAAATGACAACGAAATACCAAGATGGTGTTTTAAATTACTGTATTTGTTGATTTTAATTTCTAAGGATAAGAAAATGTTTTTAGTTAGCATCCTTGATAATATACCAAAGACCCTTAGAACTCTTTAATAGTCATGAATATAAAAGTTTCATAACTATTTCTTAAAAGATGTTGTGTAACTGAAAATGACTACAAATAAACATACATTTTGGCTGCCATACTGACCTTAACATATTAGCTAACAAGCAGGTTTGTTACTGTATTTCATCAATGAGAAATAAAAATGGATGATGCCATTTACTACAAACTAGAGAATAGTGAGTCACTGGTGTTTTAATAGCCATCAGTGGTGGCCTCCATGATAAACACCAGTCACACCTATAAACCAATTTAGCCCCATTTACACAACATCTTCTATGATACATTATTTGTTTGGGATTATATCTCTTCTGTAAGCTCCTTGCAGGGAGAAACCTTATCTTAAATACTACTTCTATATTCTCTTCCCAACACTTTACCTCAAAAATGAACATGTTGAGGGCATACTTATTAACTGACAGCTGTGGTATAATAGATATTTGCCACAGCAATTAGGAGAAAATAAAGATGTGGGTAAAGTAAGCTAAACGGAGATACTATTATGTACAATACAATAAGGCACAAGACCATAAAGTGACTTTGAAATAACATGTCCAGAAACAGCGAATCAGCTTACACAGCATTAATTATTTTCAGAGGGTACTCACAACAAAATTTATCATACTATTATTGCTTAGCTTTAAAATCCTTTTTTTGTATGTTCTTACATGAGAAGCTGCATTTTGTACTATTCCTTAACGCATATTCCTATAATTATATCTCATGTCTTTATAAAATACCTTATTCATATAAGTATGAGAAGAGCTATACCATTCAAAATCTAAAAGAAAATAAAAACAATGTATTTTTTCACTCTTCCTGGATTAACACATACAGTAATTTGCTAATAAAAACAAAGGTTATCATCTGTCTTACTTTTCATTCACACTCTTGAATGACAGGCATTTTTTTAGAGTTCCTACTAGAAAAATTCTGTGCCAACTTGGCTTTAAAACCGACTTAAACCAAAATATCCATCTTTTTCTCTGACCTTGTTCATTCTCTCAATCAAAATTATGTATCAATTGTATTTTCTAAAATAGTTATGATGCAAATGAAGTTTTAATTTATGATAGCAGCAGCCTTACACTATCTTTCCCATTTTAAATGCACGGCGCTAGAGAGGACAAAAGCATACTCTGAAACATCTTCACAGGTCCTCTAACAATGGTCTCTTACTAAAAATTATTCTCTTTGTATAATTATATTAAATCTCTATGCTCCCCTCCTAAGATGAAATCATCTGTTTATACCCCCTCCAACAACTCAGAAGTGGGCTTGTATTCATTCTCTCATGCCTTTTGTCTAAGAATACCAAAGCACTTCATTATTTTATTTTACCAACCCCATGAAATCCGTGGTACATCAAAAGCTGGAGGGCTGATGAGATAACTAGACAGACCTCTGGACAGCTGACCAAACTTAGTACCCATCTAGGTCCTTAAAATCAGTCAGAAAATCAGCCAAGACCTATTTACAGGTCTTGAGTGTTTTAAACAAAAACAAGAAATCCTTCCCACAAAGGAACTTGTATGTGCTCGCGCGCGCGCGCACACACACACACAGACACACACACACACAGACACACACACACACACACACACACACACACACACACTGTACTTTTCAGAGGGTGGAAATACAACGGGTCTTGTTCTTTTCGTTTTTCAAGAGTTTAAACGCCAGGGACATCTGCATCTTGATAACAACTCCTGAGGGCAATCTGATCAAAGACACAGAAATCCTTCCTTCAAAGATATGCACCTTGTGACACTCCAAGAAGGAGGAGAGATATTTAAAGTAAAACCTGCCCTGAATCATTATCACTGACTTAAGGAAGAGATTAAAAAGCCCTTGGCTTCATGTGGCTTTTTTACATTTTGCTGTAACCCCAGGGCCACAGATGCTGTTGGTGAAATTCTCCTACTCCTCTCTGCTAAGTGTCACAGCAGTATAAACTCATACACACGAACACGCACGCATCTCCACTTCCATCCCCATCCTTCTCCCTTTGGTGCCTATGACCCAACATGTGGACACAATGTTACAAAAAGCAAAGTCATGGGGCAATGCGGGGGGAGGAGGGGAGGGTGCAAAGGATTGAAAGATCCAGAAAAGCAAGAGTGTGAGAGGTAGCCGGCTCCTCTGCTATCGTGAAGCAAACATTCATTTGGGTGGGGGCACAGAATGCAGAGGTAGAAATAAAGCAATCCCGACTGCCCACTCTGCCAGCCCATTCTGCCTCTCTGCCCTCCATCACCCCATCCGCTCCCGGAGGACCACCTCCGAGCCAGAGGGCGCCACTTACGGTTCCCCACCCTCACCCCCTGAGGGGAAACCAGCGAAATGGGGTTGGAACGAAGAAGAGGGCTGAGCAGTGGGTGAGGGTCACGCCGGGTTCCGGATGGAGACCCCGCCGCGGGAGGCCGCGCGGAAGCACGGGAGCGGCCCGAGCGCGGGTGAAGTGGGGATCAGAAGAGGGTCTCGCCCCCACCGCTCCCGAGGGAGGCTCCGGTGTTACTCACATTTTCCGTGTCCCGCTCGTTCACCGTCGGCAATGGCGTCCGGGCCGACATTTTGTGCGGGCTGCGGGGTCTGGCCGGGGTCTCGCCGGCCGGGCTGGGGTACGGGCCCCAGGGGCGACAGGAAAGGGGTGCGGACGCGAGAACAAGGCCGGGGCGAGCGGCTCCCGCAGGCCGCGGGCGGTGCAACAAGCGGCCCCGGCGCGGGAGCGGGGGAAGAGGACGCGGAGGAAGGGGTGGGGGAGCCGCTTCCCGCGGCGGCGCCGCCGGGGTGCGCGGACGGCAACGAGGGAGGGCTCCGGGCGAGGCGGTTGCCCCGCGCTGGCGGGGAGGCGAGGATGGCAGGATGCGGCGCCGAGGGGTGGGAGGCGGGGAAGGGGAGCCGGGAGGCGGCGGCGAGCCCCGCTAGGCTCTCCGGGCCGCGGGTGAAGGTGAACCCGGTGTCTCAAATCACTGCCTGGCGCGTCCCAGCGAGCGCGCCTCGGCGTCGGGAACCGCGGCCCTGACAGCGTCGCCCGCGCCGCGCCCGGCTCCCCGCCTCAGGTGTGCGGCGCCGCCCGGCCCGGCCACATCCACGCGCCCGGGACCCAGCGGCGGCGGCGACCTAGCCCCCGGCGCGAATGTCTCGGCTCGGTCCGCGCGGTCACCACCACCGCCGCCGCCGCCGCGCCTCAGTCCGGAGGAGCGGCCCGAGCCGGCTGCGCGCGGAGCGGCGGGCGCGGCACGCAGCGCCCAGAGGCACTTGGCGGCCGCCGCCGGGTGGGCGGGCGCCAGCCGAGGGGGCCTCTCCATTCATTCCCTCATTAGGGATGCGGGGCCGCCTCCGCCTCCTCCTCCTCCTCCTCCTCCTCCTCCTCCTCCTCCTCCTCCTCCTCCTCTCGCGCTCTCTGGCCAGCCTGTCCCTGTGTTTATTTTTGTTTCGTGCCCCACCCGCAGAGTTTACGGTCGTCTAAGAGCCTCTGGTGGTTTTATTTTTATTCGTGTTTGCTTTTTGCCGGGTTGAGGGCGAGACAGAGCTGAAGTGAATAAGTGGCTTTTTTTGTTGCTGTTCCTTTCATTGGAGCGCTGGGTTGAATCCTACCCCTCCTCTCTCCTACCTCTGGACTTTCACCATTCGTAAATTCTGCTCCTCTTCCCCCGTTTCCACGCTGTCTCGTCCCCGTCCCCGCCTGAGCCTTCTGTCAGTCCCCTTCTCTAGGGAGCCGTTAGGTTCAGGGTCACCCTCAGAGTTTGGCAAAGAGCACAAAAGCCCCTAGAAGCGCCCGCAGCCTAGGGGGGCGGCTGGAGACCCGGTGCAAGTGGGTCTCAGGCCCCGACGGGGAGGCTTCTGCAGGAATGGGGCGGGCCGAAGACGTCTCGCTCTGGGGGCCCCGCAGCACCCCTGGAGTGGGTGAGACCCGCGAGTCACAACATCTACACTGGCTGATCGTCACTTCCTGGGACACAAGGAAGTGTCACTTAGACGAGCCTGTTTAGGGAGGGTGGAGAGCTGTGTCTGATTTGGGCCCTGTCTCCCTCCTCCAGGCGGCTTCCTCACACTTCCACCCACCTGCCTCCTGACATCCTGCGGGCACCGTGTCGGTAGTGCATGGTCCAGGACCCATTAGCCTTTTATAAGCAAGGCTGCTCTGTGTGTGTGTGTGTGTGTGTGTGTGTGTGTGTGTGTGTGTGTGTTTTCTATCTCTGAGAGCTTACATTTTGCACATTCAGCCTCTAGGACAAAAAGCTTATCATTTCTCTATTCTTCTTTACAACATTTCACTTTCTTTCATGGATGGGCAGGAAGACAAAAGGAGTGATAGACAGGAGCAGATAATTCATGTTTTGAGCTACTTCAATAAGCCTCCAATGAAATTCTTATGATGGTGGGAAATCTCTCATATCTCCTGAATTTCCTCCGTTTGAAGGAAGAATCCCTGCACCAGATGGTTTTTATCCTGACTCATTAAAGGATGTTTCTGAAAAGTTAACACTTGACCCTTAAAGTATGCATCCAAAGACCTAAAAATAGCAAACACAAAAATCCTTTGAGGAAAGAAAACATTCTCACCCAGTCGATATTCACTTCTAGAACACCATCCAAGTACTTATTTCTTTAGCATTTTCTCTTGTAACCTCCCAGTTTCACAAAGCAAATGAAAATCACAAGATCCCTTTGGTGGTCCTCACCACTTCTCAAACAAAATGCAGGCGGTGGAACTGCAACGATGCCCTCTGAACTATGATGTGTTACTGGGAATGTCAAGCATTCACATTCCCTCTGCAGAAAATCCTGAATCGCCAAGAGGTAATGAAGTTGCAAGGGCTTAATCTTGTATTTTTCTGCTTAACTATTGCCACGACTGCCTGTAGGGGCTGCCACGACAGTGCCAACAGCACCACTGACTGCTGCAGCCACAGGAGAGTACCCAGTGTTGCAACAGTACCTGAGTTAACCTAGCAATACAAGTAAGTGTGAAAAGGTGTTCGGTCCCATTGGAATAGGAATCATTCCTTCAGCTGGTAGTTTGGATTTTGCTCTTCAAAGTATAGTCACATATCATTCTCTATCTTTATCATTGTGGTGACCTTAACAGACGTATTTATTTCCATTTTACAAAATTCCACTAAGTTAACTTGTTCAAGATCACAGATGCACCCGGTTAATAAGACACAGAAGAAGATAACTGGAATATGTGGTGCCGTTCAATCTTGCAACAGTCACAAAAACCACAGGTTCACCCCGTAATATATAATGGCTAATTCGAGACAGAGCTCAAAGAAGAGCCCAGACTCTGGCTTCCACAGATTTTAAAGTGTTAAAAGCCATAGACAAATCCCTTAGCTATATTTGCTACACAATGCTCACTATTTCACATATTGAAATTTACGGAATATCACAAAATAATAGGAAGGGATATTTATTGTTTAAGTCAATCCCTAAAGAAAATTTCGAACAGTAAAACAACATTCAAAAAGGGTCGTTACTGGTAGCTCAAATCCATAAATCTAGCTAACCAAATAAACTAGAAACCACTCTATCAAAAAAAAATGCCATTCAAATAATCCTTATTAATACTGACAGTTTTAAGCTTGGTACGTAATGAAAACTAAGGGAAAATGCACTTTGCCCAGGTTAAAAAAAAATGTCACTCTGTTTTTCAAAAGGAATTACTGAGTGTCTGCCTCTATATAAGCTCTTCTTCCCTTAAAAAGGCATTCCTAGATCCTTAAACATGGGAGAGGAAAAAAACATGACATGAGGCATTGTTGTGACGGAGTCAAAACTGTTTAACCCTAGTCCTTAAAAATGAAAATTCTCATGAGCAAAATTTACTTGCATTACTATATATAGCTTCTGTGCCTGTGACTATGGAGAAATGACAAAAAGAATGTTTTAAGGCTTTCAGTAATTTTCTTTTGGATTATTAACCAAATGTGGCATGTTCAATTCACTGGTTCCTAACTTAATGTGTTAGGGTAATGAAAGTTTCGGAAGACAATTGAAGTACTGACAAAACAAAAGGGAAATAAGGATCTAAAAGGTGCTAAACCTACACTGAAAAGTGGGAAAAAAGCATTGCCTACCGTCAGCTCTATAGAGTAGAAGTCTCTAGAACTACCGGCTCAAGTACTGCAGGCACTAGCTACATGTGGCTATTGAGCTGTTAACATGTTGCTTGGATTTTTAATTTGACTCAATTTGAAATCATTTACACTTAAAAACCGATTTGATTCAGTGACTGAAAATTTTTGTTATGTTTGAAAATATGTCAAGTATATGAACTTACCTTAACTATAAATTTTCTGAAATCTAAATACAGATCAAGTATTTCTGATGGAAATTTATTACCGGAATTGGAATGTGCTGTAAATATAAAATGCACACCAGATTTTCAAATATTTAGTAGGAAGGCAAAGAGTAAAATATTTCTTTAATAAATACTATAACCATTGCATATTGAAATGCTAATATTTTGACATATTCGATTAAATGAAATATATTATTAAATCAATTTTAACTGTTTTTTACTTTTTCAAATCTGGATCCTAAAAAATATAAACTTACATATGTGGTTTACATTACATTATATCTCTGTTGGTCAGTACTTCTCTGTATGGTCAAAGCTGAGAATGAAAAGGTTTAGTTGCTGAAGAATAGAAAGCCTTGATTATAAGCTATTAATAATTCATTCTGTGGTAGAGTGGTACCCAATAAAGGCCTGTTGGTACCACTCTACCATATGCCAAGCTGTGCTGTTCTAGGGGAATATTCTTCACCTAATAGCGGCAATCAGCCCTATAGCAAGCATTCTTTCTTTTTTTTTTTTTATTGCATTTTAGGTTTTGGGGTACATGTGATGAACATGCAAGATTGTTGCATAGGTACACACATGGCAGTGTGCTTTGCTTCCTTCCGTCCCCTCACCTGTATCTGTCATTTCTCCCCATGCTATCTCTTCCCACCTCCCCACCCCCCCGCCCGCATTCTTTCTTAAAGAGTGAAGTGGGAAACATATTGAATTCATACAAACGAGTATTAATAGATTACAGTCGTTTGTAAACAAAGACTTTATCAAATGTGACAGATTCAGCAGCATTAATAGTAAACTGTTAAAACTGCACGTCTTATATCACGTGCTTTAGATGTATCCAATGTCTGATACACTTGACCAGTTAATAATTATTTATTGAGGGCGTACTTTGTTTTAGGTACTACAAGGCTACTTACAATCTTTCATTTAACCACATAGGAAAACTACAGGATGGACAGTTTAGTAAGGTAACAAAGAGAAGTCTCAGCTAAAGAGAAACAAGGTTAATGTCTATCAGGAAAGAATAATCAGTTCTTGTCACAAATAAACTGGGTCCTGATTGCCTGCCTATCTTTAGCAAGGTGAATTTTTATTGTGTCAATTTTCTACTTAAAATGTAGAATCGCTGAAATGGACAAGGGCCTCAAAAGCAACAATATATCGTATTTTTAAAACTGCATAGGGCTAGAAAAAAAAAAACTGCATAGGCCTGTTGCCTTTTACATTATATATACTGTCATGGAAGGACTGAAAAGTCCTTGTGATAATTTAACCTATACTTATCATCGTAGCCATCAGTATATACATAAAGTGTCAGACCAAGCAAGAGTCAGCTCAGTGCTTTTTTCGGTTGTGCCATTCCACACCTCACAAACACAGTCCCCAAGAGGTGTTTACTCTCCTATTTCCCACAAGCACTCTAGGATCAGCAGTGTTGCTTTGCTTGGAATTCCCTGAACATACCATTGCTTGACTCCTCCGTACTTTTGTGTCATCTGTCTGTCTTCCTGGAATGTCCTCCCCTTTTTTTCCACCTGATGGCCTTAGA